GTACAGTCAAGAAAAATATAGACACACAAACATCATAAAATTGCTAATTAAAATTATTACTGGTATCCTGATATGTCTTCCCCTTTCATGCATGTTGCACCATACCTTCTTTTTTATTTATTTAATTAATGATAGACTAACAAAAACATACATACAATACACAACATAAACAAACTATACATTTAAATCAAGTCTTGCAACTTGAGCCCTGAGAAAAAAGAAAGTTACTTCGGTATTCTATATTCTGGGTTTTATTTAATTGACCAAACTAAGTAATAATTTTAATTAGCAATTTTATGATGTTTGTGTGTCTATATTTTTCTTGACTACACCGCCTTGAGTCCTACTGGAGAAAGGCGGTATAGAAATATAATAAATAAATAAATAAATAAATAAATAAATTTCTCTCTATATATATATCTATCTCTTTCATTATATAACGATATTTTAGGTTTATTTCTTAATTTTTGTTTCCTTAGTTGGTATTCCCTTTCTATCTTACTAATTCTTTTTTATATCGTTTTCCTTTTCTCTAACCAGTCGTACCATCGTTGCCAAACTAGGTAATACTCTGTGTCTTCCTTTTCTTGTATTTCTTTGGTAAGCCTGTCCATCTCTGCACATTCCATTACTTTTTGTATTATTTTACCCTCCAATGGCATATCTTCTAATTTCCACATTTGCACGAATGTGATTCTTCCTGCTGTCAGGATATGGATTATCAAATATTGTATTTCTTTTTCATAGTGATTTGTTAATATTCCTAATAGGTATGTTTCTGGTTTCAATGGCACTCTCTGGGTAATAATTTCTTCTAATTGTTTTTGGATCTTTTTCCAAAACTTTTTTGCCTTTTGGCATGACCACCACATGTGATAGTATGTCCCTTTATGGTTGCACCATACCTTCCTAGGCCTTCCTGTACTCGCATTCACCTCAAAACTGCACTCTGTGCCTTCCTTCCTAGGCCTCTCTTTGCTCACACACACTCCTCTTCCTTGGTCTCCTTGTGGTCACACCATACTGCAGTATCCCTTGCCCAATTTATGTTCAGCCAGAGCTGGGCCTCCCACACCCATGTGGCACCCTGGCACTCCTTATCTAGGACACCTACTGCTTCATGATTCACACCTCTTGAGTTATCCTGATAACCAGTATTGCCTGAATTAACAATGTGATCAGATGACATAATAGTTTAGGACTACATTGCTTAGCAGTGACAATCCCGGTCCCCATTCAAGGACTACCTTGTAATATAATGAAAAATCTATAATTCAAAATGGAAACAAAATTAAAATAATCATATTTTCCTGGGAAGTATTAATTAGCTTGTAGGTAGTTTGGGTTAGCTTATCATCAAAACTCAAAGACTATTGTAATAGTCTTTGTAAAGACTGTGTGAACTGATTGGGTGGGAGCTTGGCTGTGTTCTGATTGGGTGGAGGTGTGTTCTGATTGGTTGGGGACACACACCTCCACCCAATCAGAACACAGCCAAGCTCCCACCCAATCAGTTCACACCCCCACTGGCAGTTAAAAGGAAGAAACAGCTGCGATCACACATTGCTTCTAGAAGCACGAAGCCGAAAACACCAGCCTGAAGATGACGAATGAGACTTCGTCGAAACGTTGCCAAGACACCTCCAATTTTACGCGGGAGAAAACCCAAATAACCAAAGACCTACATATAAACATCAGCGAAAACCTCAGTGTGTGTGTGTGTGTGTATATATATAATATATACATATATATATAATATATATATATATATATATATATATATATATATATATATATCTATATCTATATCTATATCTATATATATATATATATATATATATATATATATATGTGTGTGTGTGTGTGTGTGTGTGTGTGTGTGTGTTTTTCTTCTAGCCAGGTTTTCCCTACGTAACCAAGGTTTTTCTGCAGCTCCAGCTCAGTAGAATCACATCCACTCGATTCTGGGCTTTTTTCTTTTCTAACAGCTAGCAAGCTCTTCCTGCTAGGAAGGTCTCCCACCTAGCAGGAAGAGCTTGCTAGCTGTTAGAAAAGAAAAAAGCCCAGAATCGAGTGGATGTGATTCTACTGAGCTGGAGCTGCAGAAAAACCTTGGTTACGTAGGGAAAACCTGGCTAGAAGAAAAACACACATAAACCCTACGAAGAAGTAAGAAAATTTATATATATATATATATATAATATCAATGAATGGTGCCTATAATTAAGAGTAAGATGCAATCATTTGATTGTAATAATAGAATCTACTATACATGGGGGGAAGATTCCTATTTACATACTACTAAAACTTTCATCAGGACCTTTAACTGGGTGAAATGGTGCATCATAGGGCAACAATTTTTGAACCAAGGTGCCTCAAATGGATTAACTTAAAGAATAAAACTAAAATCTGAGACTCATGATTCCTGAGGGAATTAAATTTGGGAAAGTTGTGGCTGCTTCAGTTCAGTTCAGTTCCACTGGCTGCTGTTAGGCTGCAGCTGTGGTGATGTGATCTTTATTTTTAATGTTCTGTGATAATTTCTCATCCAGTTTCACAATCACTTGCTTGATCACTCCTCCATCTAGCAATTGGCACTTACAGTGCAAACAGTAAGGCAGTAGTTGGCATTATCTCATAGGTAGAGCAGATCTTGTGATGTAAAGAAATGACTCTTCGCCCAGGCAGATAGGTCAGTGTCCTAACCCAATGCTACTATTTCTATCAATAGTGAGCTATCGAGCTTTGGCCTGTGCTGTGATGGTATTGCAGTGTAAAAGCAAGAGTATAATTACTCTAGCCTGCCTTATATGGGTATGGAGCCATGCTCTCCATTTAGTCTAAGGCAGGGATATCAAACTCGCAGTGTCACATCGTCATGTAACGTATCGCGACTTTTTTCCTTCACTAAGCCAGGAGTAGGCATGGCCAGCGCATGATGTATCTGGCCTGTGGGCCGCAAGTTTGACACCCCTGGTCTAAGGGAAGATCTGTAATACCTGAACGAGAGCAGTATCAGTTATCCACTTTTAGTTGTCTCCTCAGAAGAACTGGCTGCATACAATCAGTTGAGTAGCATGCATGGGTACTATCAGTATTGATCCTTTGATAGTAGTCAGGCTTACATTTGTCTGATAGTGTTCCCCAAAGCCAGGAATATGACTTTCTAGAGCCTTGTTGTCTCCTGACGAGGACTCTTGTGCTGTAGGGAGCAGGAATAGAAGTCCTTGTTTTGTTTTACAATAGTGGTGTACAGGTAGTCCTTGACTTACGACTAATATTTCTGTTGCTAAGTGAGACAGTTGTTAAGTGAGTTTGCCCAGCGGTGAAATGCACTTATCTTTGCTACTGGTTTGGGAGTGTGAGCACGCACGCCTCTTCTGCGCATGCGCAGAGGGTGAAAAATGGGACGTAATGACATCCCGGTGGGTGGGCAGAGCCTTCCGCCACTGGTGCTACTGGTTCGCACGAGCCGGAGAGATCCAGCCGGATTTCACCGCTGGTTTTGCCACATTTTACAAGCTTTCTTGCCACAGTTGTTAAATGAATCATTGCAGTTGTTAAGTTAGTTAACATGGTTAGTTAAATGAATCTGGCTTCCCCTTTGACTTTGCTTGTCAGAAGGTTGCAAAAGGTGATCACGTGCCCCCAGGGCATTGTAACTGTAATAAATATGAGTCAGTTGCAAAACAGATGAATTTTGATCATGTGACCATGAGAATGCTGCAATGGTCATAAGTGTGAAAAACGGTCATAAGTCACTTTTTTCACTGCCATTGTAACTTCAAATGGCCACTAAACAAACTATTGTTAAGTTGATGACTACCTCTATGTCACTTTCTATTATCCATTCCTTATACTTAGTTAATGAGACAAATAGCCCAGGGAGATAAAGATATGTCCACTATTGTGCCCATTTCTTACTTTCTGTGGATAGCACAGCAAGGATAAGGGCATCCATATACTGCTGAAAGAGAAGGATCCCAGAAGCAGAATGAGGCACAGAAATGTCTCCCTTACAAGCATATTTGGATCAGAAAATCATAACTTCTTCTTACCATTCTTCGCAGTGGGGTTCAGGCTCAGGAGGGAGGGAAGGAAGGAGGAAGATAAGTAGGTAAGTTATGGCTATTGTCTGGGCAGTAAAGACTGAATTCTATTAAGGTGAGAAATAAATATTATGTTGGTTGGGAATATAGGTAGTCCTTGATTTACAACAGTACATTTAGTGACTGTTCAAAGTTATAACGGCACTGACAAAAAGACTTACAGGCGTTTTTCACACTTACGACCATTGCAGCATCTCCATGATCATATGATCAAAATTCGGATGCTTAGCAACTGACTCATATTTATAACACTTGCAGTGTCCAGGGATCATGTGATCACCTTTTGTGACCTTTTGACAAAGTCAGGGGAAACTAGTTTCACTTAACAACCATGTTACTAACTAACTATTTATTTAAATAAATAAATAAATAAATAAATAAATAAATAAATAAATAAATAAATAAATAAATAAATAAATGTTACTAACTTACCAACACAGTGATTCACTTAACAACTGTGGCAGGAAAGATTATAAAATGGGACAAAACTCACTTAGCACCAGAAATTTTGGGCTCAATTGTGGTTGTAAGTTGAGGACTACCTGTATTGGGAGCTTTAGTTTCAGACAACAGGCAAGCATCAAGTTCAGGGATGCTGCTGCGCACATTTACCTGCCAAATGTAAATAATAAGGTGGCCCCACCAGACTGGTTGCTTTGCAGCCCCTTCTCCGTTTTTTCTCAGGTCCGCAAGCTGGCCAGTTACCCTGCCTCCAAATGTTCCATTGCAAGCATCCAAAATATCAGTTATTCGACTCTTGAACCAATAAGCATCAGAGAAGAAACTTGGTGATGGAGCACCAAACCAATGAAGAAAAGAAGAGGCGGGGCCGCGGGGCGTTGAATTTTCAGCAGCTGGTTTATATTAAGCTGTTGGAGCCGGGTGTTAACGGTGGTGGTTGTGAGCGGTGCAGCTTTGGGGACTCGTTCCCCTTTTCGCAATCAAGATCTTTGACATTAGCGCTCCCCAGCCGACAGCGTCCCGTCTCTCTTTAGGGTCGGGGTCTCATTTCTCCCAAAATGGCCTGCGATCGAGATTACGCCAAGGAGCAGCTGAAGCGCTGGCAAGAGCAGCGGGGCTCGCAGGTACAGACGGGGTCCCTCCCCCCCACACCACCAGTCCCGGCAGAGTCTCTGTTTCTGGCGCGTGTTTGCGTGCCCGGGAAAGTCTGTCAGGCAGCTCCTCCAGGGAGGGGGCCCGAGGACAACAAGCTGGAACAGCGTGATATAGTACAGTATATTGTTACTGGAGCAGAATAGAAGCGGGTGCTGCATTTTGTGATGGGGCAACAGATAGCAGCAAAACGGAGTTGGAAATGTGTGGTTAATAATTGGGAAGAGGGAACTACAATAGGTTCAGTCTCCGGGAAGAGAGTGGATTGGCTAAGGAATAGTTTCAGAAATAAGGTTTGATCTAGTTTGGATATTCTCTCTCTCTCTATATATATATATCTTTTTTTTCAATAATTAAGTAGTGTGTTCTTTGCTTGTAAAGTCTAATACAACTAAAAATATCAAATAGATAAAGGTTGACTAAAGAGTAATTTCTTTTCTTTTTTCCTTGTTTTAATCCTGCTTTTATTAGTTTATAAAGAGTTCAAAGGGACAAGCATACAACCTGGCTTGCCAGTTGGTCTGAGGACGAAATGGGAGAGCTTCACTGTAAAGGTGGATGCTGGATTCATGGTAGTTTCCACTCTCCCCCACCCTTGTACTCTGTATCCCATCTGTCCATCTTTTGGGTTATCATATAGATGTATTCTCCTTAGTGTTTCCCCCCCCCATTTTATTGTTTTATTTTACTGTTTAGAGTCCTTTCATTTTCTTCCTTTTTGTTATTGTAAGCCGCCTAGAGTAGCCCTGCAGTGAGATAGGTGGCAAATTTAAATAATGATGATAATAATAATAATATAAATATAATAAAATAATAAATATAAATATAAAAAAATACATATAATAAAAATATAATAAAAAATAATAATAGGATGCTGGCAGCAACCCGTATCAACCATTAGCACCAGTCAATGGTATTTGTGATGTATTTTTGAATGTTCAGTTGACTGAGTTTCATGTTTAATGAATAAAGTAAATAATAATACTTAATACTCCTTCCTCCTCCTATTTTCCCCACAACAACCCTGTGAGGTAAGATCAACTGATGAAAAGTCATCTGGCTGGTTTTCACGCTTAAGGAGAGACTAGAATTCCTGGCTGATCTCCTGGTTTCTAGCATGATGCTTTAACCATTAGACCAGGGGTCTCTAAATTTGGAAACTTTAAGACTTGTTGACTTAACTGGATGTGGAATTCTGGAATTTGATGTCCACAAGTCTTAAAGTTGCCAAGTTTGGAGACCCTTGCAATAGAGCAAACTGTTGTGGATTATTGAGGGACCTCTGGACAAAGTGACACGTTTTCCTTTTCTTACAAATTAGTCTAATGTAGCTTACTGTATTTTGGGACAAACCTTAACTGCACTTTTTATAATGACTTATTCCTTCTATCAAGAAGGAAAATACTTTCTCAACATCTGCCATATTCTGTTAAATATGGTATGTGATATTCACGGTACCATTTTACAAGGAGAAAATGCAGGTCCTGGTATAATCCATCCATACCAAGTTTTTTGAACCCTATCTTCAAGAGAAATAAATTTATACTTGACCACTGATATCTGTTGGATTGAAAGAAATCTTAAAGAATCAAATTAAGATGAAGCAAACAGTCTGTTTTCTGTCTTTGCTTAACTGGTAATTACTTTAATACAACATAATGAACTGCAAGAGAGCCAGTTTGATGTAGTGGTTAAGGCATCAGACTAGAAAATGGGAGAGTGTGAGTTCTAGTCTTGTCTTAGGCACAGAGCCAGCTGGGTGACCTTGGATTTAGGTCACTTTCGGCTCTAGGAAGCAGGCAATGGCAAACTACTTCTGAAAAATCCTTGTCATGATATGACATGATTGAATGGAAGAAACAAAACTCTGCAAGCATAAATACATCTAAGTAAAAAGTCAGCACTATGATAGTCAATTTTGTTCCGTTTTTTCCCCTTTTTTATTATCCAGGAATCTCAATTATTAAATAAGGAATCTCAATTAATTAATAAGCATCATTAATTATTTTAGGCTATTTTGATTGAAGGTTCCGAAATAGAATGAAAAGCAATAAAGTTGATCTCTCTCTTTATCAATCGAATGCATTTGTTTACAGTGTAGTAAAGTTGAAATTTATATTCCCTTCAGCATCTTTTAAAGGAACTTTTAAGATTTTGATATACAATTTAGCAGACTCAACCAGGATACAAGCAGGTGATTCTTCAGTTTAAACATTTTTAGTGTTTTTATAATTCTAGCTAATTGTACAAAAGATGGCTGTGTATAGCAGTACATGATTGATCGCCAGTTTGTATGATAAGTTTCTTTTGCTGTTCTCTCCTTTACTCCCTCCCTAGCTTGCAACCTGCAAAACAGATCTGGAATATATTCAACAAGTAAGAGATTGGGAGGATTGTTCAATTCACCAAAGTTATCCTTTTAAATAGATGAAAATAATTAGATACAGTCAATTATTCTAGTCATATAGTATTATTAAAGGGTTCAATTCAATTAAGATTCAATTTGTTTTTTACTGGATGGAAGTGTTTCTTCCAGTAAAAGAACAGTAATTGTTTTAGAACATAGAACTTACTAAGTGTGAGTTCATTATGAAGATTATACATTGTGCTGAGATGCATTAATATGATTAGCACTCTTGCCCTGCTTGCACCCAGTTATCTGTCATGCCTCTGTTGGAGTCTGACTCTGAGACGGAAGATGAACAGCTGAGAGAGAGTGGGAGAGTGGCTCCATTGGCTGTGGAGGAAACTGGAGAAGGGCAAAGTCAGGCTGGGCAGAGCAGGGGAGAGGTAGAACAAGGGAGAGGGGTTTCAGATGAAGACCAAGGCCCACCCCTTTCTCATCCTAGGGCATACAGGGAAGAACACAGAAGAGAGCAATGTGGCTTGTGTGGCTTACGAGAAAGGAGACGGCCCTGATTCTCTTCACAAGGTACACCTGGAGATGGAATTTAAAGGAGAGGCAGTTGGGAGGGGCGTTTGTTGGGAACAAACACTGAATTCATCTAGTGTTGAGAGTTGTGGCCTGCCTTCCTGGCGTTCCTCTGACTGTTTAAATTAGTGTCGTGCTGCTGTGTGCTTATCTTGTCTTGCTGGAATTATTCTTTGCTTCTGGGACTCATTTTATTATTCGAATTTATTTATTTATTTATTTATTTATTATTCAAATTTCTATACCGCCCTTCTCCTTTCGGACTCAGGGCGGTGAACAGCCAAAATAAAAACATTTATACATAAATACGATTAAAAATAGATTTAAAATAATTAAATTTGGCCCATAGTTTAAAATTTATCAATTTAAAATCCATATCAAAATTTAAAACCAACCATAAAATCATAAAATCAAGAGAGACCGGCTAACTGAAAAAGATGAGTTTTTAGGGCCCGATGAAAGGTCCGGAGGTCGGAGATCACTCGTATCTCTGGGGGTAGATTGTTCCAAAGGGTAGGTGCCACCACAGAGAAGGCTCTCCTCCTGGGGGTCGCCAGCCGGCATTGTCTAGCCGACGGCACCCTGAGGAGGCCCTCTCTGTGGGAGCGAACTGGCCGGTGGGAGCTGTTGGTGGCATTTTCTTGGCCTGTTGGAGTTATTGATTGCAGTCATTCTGCTTACAGCGTTTGGACTGGAGTATCTGCAGCCAGAAGCTGCTGCAGGTTTGTGGGACAGTTTTTATCCAGGCCGGAGAGTAAATGAGCTGTTGGGGCCAAAGTTGGTGCCAATAAAGGGACTCATACCAGTTCTCTGGCTGTGTTGCCTTCGTGCCATGCCCCAGGTCATCACATTATCTATATTCTGTGATAAATGGTAGAAAAGGTAGTTAGGCAACTTCAAGGGATTAATTCCATCTCTCATCTCTTATCAGAAAATCTGCCACAGAAACTTCAAACTCCTTTTGAAATACCAGGGAAAATGGTCGCAGCAGTTAGAGTAGGAGGGTGATATAAATGAAGAAAGCCTCGCCTATCTCTTTCTGATGTTGCAATTGATTATGTATTGCCCCAAATTCATACTTGGAATTCATCCTTTGCCTATTAGAGCAGATAATGAGATACGGTGTCGCCAGTTTGACTTCAAATATACAGATAGTTCTTAGTTAACCACTCATTCAGCAACCATTCAAACGATGGCACTGAACAAGTGGTATTTATGACGTTCTCAAAGTTCCAGCCAGCATGCACATGTACATTATCTGGGCCAGTGGCAACCAGCCCACACTTTCGATATTTATAGTGTCCTGCAGTCATGTGGTTGCCATTTGTAATCTTCCCTGCCAACTTCCCACAAGCAAACTCAAACTCAATGGCAGAGAAAATTGCAAGTTGCTTCGGTAAATTGCTTGTGTACTACGCAGGACCTGGCCTGGCCATGCTTTTGCAGCAATATTGTAGTATCTGTCACACTGTTCTGCACCTGACAGCAGTTGCTCCCAGCCCAGCCACTCTAACCGCCTTCGTTCCATCCCACACCCAGCAGAAGCCACTCCCAGCCCTGCCATGCTCATGCCATGTGGGAGAAATGCACATTTTCCCCCAGCTGGCAGCAAACAACCCAGCTCTAATTCCAGCCATTTACTTGTCCATTTACTTGCAGGCCACCTGATATTTGGAACTTCCTGCCACCTTCACCATTGACTTTGCTTGTTGGAGGCAGTAGGAAGTTGTGAGGATATCATCGCTTAACAAGCTGTGTTCCTTGCATAACAAGAGCATGATTCTATGCTTAATGACTACCTTGCTTAGCATCAGAAATTTCAGTCCCAGTTACCATTGTTAAGCAAGGGCTAACAATATGGATGTTACTGATCCTGCTCACAATAGCATCCTGATTTTTCCAAGTAACATTGATGTCATGGTTTAATGAAAAATAAGTGTAAAAAGCTTTTAGAAATACCAAACTTGAGTTAATATGAAACTTGATTAATATTAATCAAATATTAAACTCGATTAATAGAATGAAGTTTACAGGATTGCA